TACAGCGAGGCTCCCCTCCTGCAACCCCTCCAAGACAGTCTTAAAAAGGGCCCAAGGAGGCCCAAGGGAAAGAGTAAATAGATAGGTAGGTAGGTAGGTAGATAGATAGATAGATAGATAGATAGATAGATAGATAGATAAAGGTGGGTTCCCCCCCCCCCGGTTGCAAGTGGAATAAAGGTTGCACAGACAGACTGATATGCAGGTATAAATAAGTCATTCAGGTACACTTCTTCCCTCTGGGGATGTAAAAGAAAGTTATTTGTAATAACAATAGAAAATCAGTAACTGAGACAGTTGGGGGTTACAGTAGGAGGGAAGCTAGGGGAGGGAAGTATATTTCTATATTTACCTAAACGTCTAAACGTTTATCCTCTCTAGCACTAACCTTTCATGTTTAATGAATGAATCTGCATTGCAGGGTTGGATGGAGTTGCGTTCGTATTTGGGTTTTTTCCTCCATGTGCCGGCTAGTTTTAAATCTGCAAGCACCACAAAGAGGCCATGATCCCATCTGCCTATGATTCCAAATTAAAGTTCAAACGGATGGCTTACACACTGCTGATCCTGTATCATAGCCTCTCGCGACCCTTCAATTACTATTTAATAGAATTACAGTGTAAAATCCCAATAGTCTTAAAGAATGTTTTATCACAGACTGTAGAGAGAGAATATACAGACACCTCCAGTGTTATTGAACTGTATTACTGACCTATTTAAATATTAAAAGGGAATATTTAGTGTTCTACAAGATATTACAAGAGCTACTTTAATCTGAAAACATGCATATATCTACGTGTATGTGTGTCCACATATCTATGCGAATGTGTGTGTGGACATTAGATACATCAGCTGCATCCCACCAGAGAGAGCACAAGCTGGTGGGACGTATGCACTTGCCCGCATGGACACACATTCACGCAAAGACACACAGGCCCATGTAGAAATCTGTGTGCTCTGGTGAACTGCCACACCACTTTATTGTTGCCAGGTATTGCTGGAGAGCTTAGTCCGGTAGGAAACCGAATTTTTCCTCCACTCATTGAAAAATACTCTTCAATTGACCTTATTATTAAATGAACTTCCCGTACTGATGTTTCTATGGGGACAAAAAAAAGGCAAATATTTGCAGTAGAGCTAAATCTCCCTCTAATAGCTAGGACTGGAATTCAAGCCAGTCGCAGTCTGGCTTTAGATAGTGTAAATCTTGACTTCCAGTATAGTTTTCTTTCTTCTTTTTTCTACCTGTTCGGCAGAGGACCGGCCTGCCGCAGGGAGAGCCGAACCTGCCACTTCACCTCTCTTACAGCGAGGCGATTCTAACCAGACACTTGCGGATATTTCCATCTAGCCTTTCTTTATTCGTCACTTTTCTGCATCTCTCCTCTCTCGCAGTTGCCGAGGTGCCCGTTTGAAGCCTCCTGGTCCGAAGCCACCTTGCTTCCAAAATAAAAAAGCACAGCGCCGAAAACAAAACCTCACAGCCGTCCCTCCCCCAGACACAGCAACACAAATCCCTTTAGTATCATTTAATCTTAGCTATACCCCGACAGCCCCTGCCTTTTGTCATTACACTGCCAGAAGAGAATATTTAGCGCAATCGCCGGTACTCTCCCTAGTGCTTTCTCTTCCCAGCTCCTTCTTTCCCCTCCCTCCGCCTCTCTGCCTTTCTCCATCAGTTTGCAACTGGGTGATTTGCTTCGTTTCACCCTTTTTTATACAGCATTTACAAACTTCTGTGTGCCCGGGCTCTCTGCAGGGCGGCGATGCAGAGTGCCCTCGACATTTTGGACTCGCGTGTGTCAGCCTGCACACCCGTGTGTGTGCGCGCTCTAGAAAAAGGCAATGTTTGTCTATCCTCTCCCTACACGAGGAATCCAGGCCAGTGCGATGTGGAGCTCAATAAGAAGCTGCATGAATAAACACGAATAGAAAGTTGTGCTCAGCTAACCGAAGAAATCAGAGCAATACCAGGGCACCAACGTCCACGTTTCTTTTCACTTCGAGCTGGGGCAGTAACCTCATCTGGGTATGCTAAAAATTAAGGGCAACGGTCAAGGAGATTCGAGTCCCTCGGCAAGGCGCTTGTCACTGCTGGGGCAGCGGAAGCAGGAGATGGTCGCAGCCCCCACGCCTGGCCGAGGAGGGCGGCAGCAGCCGCAGCCCTTCAGGCACACAAAGGCCCCCCAGCCATGCTAAGGGCTCGGCCGGCCCTCGGGCAGCGGCACCAGTGGGAAGAAGGCTGAGGAGGAGGGAGGGAAGCAGGAAGATAACTTCGGAGGTCTCCAGCCCCCCCCACGCAGGGGTGCACGCACCCCGGGGGAGCCGCGAACCGAAGCTCTTTGGGGGTGAAAGCAGTGGTAGAACCCCTTGGCAAGGGGATGGGCAGACGGGGTGGTTGGGGTGGGGGTGACCATCCTCTCCAAATTGCTCCCGGAACAGCCTGGTCTTGGCCCTACTTCCGACGGGGGGGGGCGGTGTGGAAGCCGGGGAGCAGGGCGGCGAGAACCGTGTGCTGCTGGGCTCCGGCCATCTGCCTCCTGTCCGCCGGCTTGCGCTTAAATATTGATCAAACGCACTTCAGCTTCCGAGTAATTTCATCTTAATCAACGGCCGAGCTCGGCGTGGATAATAAACTAATGCTGGCGAGGGGCTGTCGATAATGCTCGGCCGGGGGCGGGGAGGAGGCAGCCCTCCGGTTTGGCGGGGCTCGATAGGCCCTATCTTCCCGGGGCAGGCGGACTTAGTGGGTGAGAAGGCTTAAATGCAGCTTTTCATAGATTTACACCTCAATCAGCCATTCAGGTTTTTAATGCAAATCCTAAAACAACATCATTTATCCATTACCGAGCCCGGCTTTGAAACGGCATATCATTAGCTGCACCCTCCTCACCCCGAAACAGCACAGGCACCGGTGCCTCCTTGACTGGGGAATACACAACCCCCAAACCCTTCTCCTGGCCGCCCCACAAAGGCCTCCGGGCTCCGAGGGGGAGGTGACCCCCCCCCTGCCAAGGGGTGACTTTTCGGGGATGAGGAGGGTGACAAATGGCCTGGGAGCAAGGGCCCTGCCTGAGAGGCTGAAGCCTGAGGCCAGGCACGGGTGGGATGAGGCTGAAGGTGATCTCTGGCCTCCCCTGCCTGCCACGGCACGACGGGGCGATCTTCTGGAGGCTTAATCAGAGGGAAGAAAAATCCAAACCTATCAGTGTAAGGCTCAGCTGAGGTAGATTATTGCTGCCGGCTTGACGCCTTCTAGCTGCAGCTTCGAGACTCGAAAATGAAGGAAGAAAAGGAGAGAACAAAAAAAAAAAAAAAAAAAATCCCAAACTTTCACGCCTCTGAATCCTTTTGAGTATTAAATTCCGTTAAAAATAAAGCAGGATGGAAACGACACTTCTACCAGCGAGGAGCAGGAATATTGCGCTTAAAAGCCTTGTATCGACATAGCAGATCTCCTTCCTACCCAAAGCCGGGGTGAGGGGCAGGGCAGGGATTTTTCCCGGTGAAGGCCTCTCCACCGCCTCGCTGCCGGGGGAGAGACAGTAGCCCGAGTCCAGGCTTGAGACCCGTGCGTGGGGCCATGGGGTGCCTTTCATCCTCTCTCGGGTAATATTTCTCCCCTCTTAAAGCCACAGGAAGGGAGAGGGGAAAAGAGCTACGTCCACCACACTACCCCCTTCTCCCACCCCTGCGGAACACGGGAGCGCTCGTGTTGCGTGAGTGTTCCTCTCCTCAGGCTCTTCCCATCCATTCCGGTTTCGTACAGCCAGGCTTTTTCTGGTTTCAACCCTAAACTGTGTTGGCGACGGGGCGGTGGAGCTGCCCATGGGGAGGCCTCGCCGTGGAGCCACTCGTGGAGCGAAGGGGGAGGCGAACCCCGACGGGGCGGGCGCTGCCTCGGGCCACCCGTGTCCACACCCGCGGGCAAACGGAGGAGAAATCCCACCACTACCCCTGCGCGGGTCTCCGCAGCCTAGCGCGGAAACTCGTTTCTTCCACAGCCAGGGGAGTCTCAGGGCGGGGGAGGACACACGCGTCCCCTACGCGCTCTCTGCGAGCACACGCGCGGCTTTTCCTCAGGGGCACCAAAAGTAGATGAACGCACATCAGCATATTCCTTCACATCACCCATTAGTGGCTTGCTCTGAGATCTCACACCCTCGGGGGTTCTCCCAGATACCCAGGTAGCCTCTTGCGGCAGAGGGAAGCCCAGGCCCTTCCTAAGGCTTCCCGTAAACCTAGCTCGGACTTCGCCCCCCCCCCCCAAAAAAGGGGGAGGATGGAAGAGGGAGAGAAGACACGGGCGACACAAAGATAGATCGGAAATCCAAATTACTTTGGAAATGGTCAAGAAATTCTAAGCACGTTTCTCCCTAAATCCCTAGTAAGTTTCAAAATTGTATTTTCAAGTGAAAACAAGTTTAGATTTTACCTCTCGTTAATTCATGGCTGAATAACCTGCCCAGGGCAAAGCAAAACTTTAATGAAAAAAGAAAAAAGGAAAGAAAAAAATAGAAAAAAAAAAAAGAATAAAAGAAAGAGATGCTGAAATACTGTTAGTCATGCAATAAAGGCTTCTTTCAGCACGTTACAATATACTCGGATTCGAGGGGAGGAGCTGCAACCCGCTTAGGGCGAGGAGTTTATGTTTTTGTTTTCCTTTAAAGCTACAAAACAAATCCCCGAAATGTCTTAACCGCTCTCCGCAGCCCCCCGGCCCTGCAGACAGGCGAGCAAGGGAAGCCTTTCAGCTCAGAGGGCGCAAAAAAAGGACCGGGGGTGCGAGGGGACACACACACACACACGGAGCTGGAGCCCGCGGTGGCGGAGGGACGGGAGGAACACGCCGCGCCCCGCACCGCGCAGCCCGGGGTCCTCGCTGCCGCCCGCCCGCAGCCTCCTCGCAGGGTCCCCCCAAGAATCCTCCATACCGTGGCCCACAGCGGAGGGGAGAGGGTGTATTTTCCGTGGCGGACAAAAAGACCAACATCTCTGGGTAGATAAGAAAATGGAATACTGTATTTGATTTAGAAAGTTTGTACATATAGATAAACACGCAGTTAAGGAAACAATAGTTGAAGCGTCCTACGTGGAGTTTAAGAAGAGACCCCCCAAAGCTGCTATGAAATACTCAAAATAGCTTTTGCATAAGATAACTACAGTTGCACCCTAAGCTTTTTTTTTTTTCCTTTTCTTTCCTTTTTTTGTTTTTTTTTTCTTTCTTTTTTTTTTTTTTTTTCTATCGCTGAGGTCCCTTTTGAAAACCTAGCACGTCAGCTCTTGACAGCTAAGTTTGTGCAAGGAACACCGAGTCAAGGAAAATAAAAAGGAGAGAGGGAGAAAGGGTGGGAGGGAGATAGACAGAGCGGGGGGGGGGGCGGGGGGGGGGAAGGAGGAAAGAAAGAGGAGCGCAAATATCATATACAAGCATTTCTACACATATATTACAAACTGGGAAAATGACCGCATCATTAAGATATACATAATTCATATAAAATTTTGAAATAAAAATAAAAATCTGTTACAGTCATAACTATTCTTTTTCACATTTATAACCAGTACCACACAGGCAGTGACAGAAGTGTAGGAAAAAAGGTGCTTACGAATAAAATGATTGTCTGCTGAACAAAAAAAAGAAATAACAGAGAATTGCATCTTGGCTGGACCATCACTTGGACTTGGAAAAAAAAAAAAGAAAGAAAATAACAAACAGAGAGAAAAGGAGAGGGGGAGAGAAAGAGAGAGAAATAGGACCAACAAAAAGGCGATAAACATTTGTTATTTCCCTCTTCAAGGAGTTCCTTTTTAATCTTTTTTTTTTTTCATTTTTTATTTTTGTACAAATTCGATGGGAGTTTGCGTTTGGTTTTTTTTTCTGTTTTCTGTTTGTTTTTCCTTGACTATAGAGAATATTTTTTCCCAGATACAAATTTAATCATCATCATCATGCAAGTGGGTGAAATGCGTCCATGGAAAAGCGCAAAGGAGAAATCGTGCTTGTCCTAAAAAGAATACAATTGTCACTTTTGCTTTGCTTTTTTTTTTCTTTTCTTTTTCCTTTTTCTATATATAATAATTATTCTTTCCCAACCACCCCCCTAACCCCCCCCTCCCCCCCCCCCTCCCGCTGCAGCACCAGCGTTTGTGACTGTTGAAGTTTTAGCTCCATCTCTTGGTGGTGGTGTTGGCTGCCGGTGGTGGTGGTGGATTCTCTCAGCCCTGTTTGTTTGCTATTATGTTTGGGTCGGGTTTGGCCTTTGCTTTCCTCCTGGCTGTGTGTGTGCGTGCGTGCGGGTGTGTGTCCTCATCCTGGGTTGTCTCGGTTTGTTTTGCTCGGGTCGGGGAGAGGGTGCTTGGCTGTTTGGATTTGGAATATTTTTGTTTGTTTGTTTGTTTTTCGATATCATACATCACATTCCGAGTCGCTGGAGGTTACCGAGAGGATGGAGGTGCCCGTCTCGGCTCTTTCTGTCAGGCTGGAGACGCTGGTGGTCGGGCTGGCAGCCGTGGACGGAGACTCGGCCGAGCTGTGGGTCGGGCAGCCGGGCTCTGCCAGCGACCGCATGCCGCTCTGTCCTATCGCCTGGTGCTGGAGCCTGCAGCGCGCCGGGAGACAAAACAACAGCACAGCCCCGCTGAAACACCGGCCGTCGCTGCCGCAGCTGCCGGGAGCACGGCGCCCGCCGGGCCCCGAGCCCTCCCGCCCGGGGACAGCCCCGGGCTTGTCCGGAGCGGAACCGCCGGCCCGGTCGCCTTTCCGCAGCGGCTCGCAGAGCCCGAAAGCAGAGGTCGGGCCAAGCCGTGCGGGGCCGCGTTTCCCCCGCTGCGGGCCCCGCGGATCCTCCGCGCTGCTGGGCCGGGACCGGGGCCACATCCCAAAAGGAGGTGGGGGGGGCACCCAGTGCCTACACAGCGAGAGGGTTCGCGGGTTGAACAGGGCCGGGAAGAGCAGGGAGAAGCGGTTCCCGGCCCCTGGTTTGAAAAACGCGAGCAGCGCCTTCCCTTTCCGAGAGAGGCGTTCATTCCGCGGGCCTCGGAGCAAACCGGGAGCTCCTCAAACACCGGGCCACCGCAGGAAGAGAGCTGAGAGAGCCGGTCGGTAATAGGGAAGCAGGTACCGGAACCTCATCCTGTGCTCTTGCGAATATCTGACTACATATTCTCCAGGCCACTGATAAATACCCTGGGGTCGGCGGCAGGACTGAGGACGGTCCTGTCCCGAGGACTCAGTGCTGGGAATGAAATACAATAAGAAAGGGCGATGGTGGAACACAGCGCATTGCTCCGGTCGAAATTTAAGTCCTTTTTTTTTTTCCCATCTAGAATCCCGAATTAGCTTTCAAGTGCTGGTCCTTTCACACTCAGCACTTCAGAGTACATTGTTATTGAACACTTAAATTTTTAAGAGGCAATAAATAATTTTTAGGTTTCCTAACGTGTTGGGGATATTCCCCTGAGCACGTTTATTCCGCTCGAAACCCAAAGAAAGTCCAATTCGAGGGTAAGAGCTAAAAGTCATGAACTGAGCACCCAGCCACAGCCTCCAGCGCCTAGCACAGCCAGGGTGAATCAAAACACACTCTTTCCCCAACTGCTTCTCACCGGGGTATTTTCTGTTTAAGTGCCCGCAAAGATCAGAAAAAAACGTAGCCATTTTATTCTACATTTCTCGTTATTTTAAGCTGTCTAATTTCAGCCTCTTTCATTTTTCCTCCATTTACAATTCCCTATGCATTCATCTGCTGTCAACAGCGTTGAGTCAACAAAAGCATCCGTAGGCAACTTCTGTTTATTTACAGTCCTAAGCTGATCTGTTTTCCCATTTAATGGAAATTAAATGGCGAGGCACTTTCAGGTTGCATTTCTCCTACAGAACCTTGAATCAATAGCACCAGTGCTATAATTAGGAGGAATTTAAGAAACAGCATTTACAAGAACAAGAAGTTTTGTTTACGCGCTTACAGTGTTAGCCAAACTTAAATTAAAATAGAACCGTGTCAAGCGGGATTAAGAGTCCATTTTCATTTGCAAAATAACTTTTACAGATAAAAAATAAAATGAAAGGAAGAAATAAGTCTTTTTTATCATGGCAAAGTAAAAATTAAAAAATAAAAAATAAGAAATAAAAGGCGCCGAGAGACACGCACGTAAAAGCAATGTAAATGCACAGAAAACACAGGACCAGAGGGCCAGGTCGCCATGTGGTTTAAACAGAGAAATGGGGATGGGGAAAAAGGGAGGTTTTCCGATCTCCCCAGGGCTTTTTTTCCCTTTTCCCACTAAGCCAAAGGGCTCTGGGCTCTGCGTGTGCTGGTCCCGCCGCGCAGGCGGAGGAGCGGGGACAATTGGAGCGGAGCCGCCCTCTCTGCAAGGACCCGCTCTGACCTGCACCGCCCGCCGCGGCCCTTCGGCGCAGGAACCGTGCCACAGCAAGGCCGGGCGCCGGTCCCGGCCAGCCGAGAGCAGCACCGGGGTCGGCAGCCACTGCGGGAAGGGAGGGACGGAGGGAAGCGGAGATGGGAAGCCGGGCGCTGCCCCGCAGCTGCTCCCCGCACACACACACAGAGCTGCCCACGCCCGCGGGTGAGCCCCAGCCCTGCCCGCACCCCAGAAGACTGTGGGGAGCCCGGGCAGGGTTCGGGGAGCGCCAGGCAACTTTGTGCCGTGCCTGCCTCCTTTGCATCCTTGCGGCTCCCGGGAGGAGACCTGCCCGCCCGGCGCGGGGACTGTTTTCTCCCGGTGGCAGGGATGAAGAGGAGGAGGAGCAGGAAGGAGAGGCAGAAGCGCGCTGCCGTCCGCGGCCGTCCGCGGTGCCCCGCCGCCCGCCTCGCCCCCAGCCCGGAGCGGGGCTCCGCAGCCCACTGACCTGTTTTTAGCCGCCGCCGCTCTGTCTCTTTGCCTTCGGTTTTTGAACCAGTTGCCTACTTGCGTGGGGGTGAGCCCCGTGGCCTGAGCCAGTTCCCTTTTCTTGCTGGGGTTGGGGTAAGGGTCCTGCAGGTACCACTCCCTCAGGAGGCTGCGAGTCCTCTCCTTGAAGCAGTGCGTCTTCTGCTCGCCATCCCAAATGGTCCTGGGCAGCGGAAACTTCTTCCTCACCCTGTATTTATCAACCGGCCCCCAGCGGGCGACCCCTTAGCTTCTCGGCCTCCTGGTAGTGCGCTTCGAGCCACATGGCCTGCAACTTGCCGTGGGACTCCTTGGTGAATTTGTGGTTCTCCAGGATGTGGTAGAGATCTCGGAAGTTGCCCGTGTGGAAGGCCACCACCGCCCGGGCGCGGAGGATGGACTCGTGCTTGTTGATGGCCTCGCATGCCCCCGGCGCCACCGGCAGCGACCAGAGGAACCTCCCCAGCCTTTCTATGTCTCCAGTCTCCTCCAGCGTCTCGCAGACGCTGGCCACTTGCTCCGGGGAGAAGTTGAGTGTGGGCAGCTGAAACATTGACAACTCTTCGTGGGGTGCCCGGGAGCTGCCGCCTCCACCGCCGCCGGCACCGGGGCTGCAGCCCGAGCCGCTGCCGCTGCCGCCGCTGGCGAGAAGGAGGGAGCGGTGGTGCGGGTCGGCGGCGAAGTTTGGCAAGAAGAAATGGGTGGGATAAAGCTCTAGCGGGGACCTGAACACCATGGGATGACCGGGGAGAGGGGGAGACGAATCAAGGAGAAAAGAAAGAAAGGGAGGAAGAAGGGAGGAAAGGGCACACGCACCGCGCACGCATCCACACCCGCACACGCACACACAGCCACATAGAGGCACGGGGGCTCGCACACACACACACACACACACACACACACACACGCACACACACGCGCTCACACTCACTCGCACGCACCCGCGCTCGCTCACGCGCGCACACACACGCACACACACGCGCACTCACACGCACCCGGCCCCGCGCCGCCGCCGAGTCAGGATTCAGTGATTCAACAGCAATCGCCCTAATGACAACAGCCTCATAATATCTCCCCTAAATCCACAGTGAGTGCAGCGCTGAAACATTTTGTTTCGCTTTTCTATTGGTCTTCCGAGTGTCGTTGTGGCGTTGCCATGGCAGCCCCTGCCAATCACTGTCAGCACTGCCAATCATTACGGAGTACGTAAGGGAGGTTTTTACCACTTCGCCCAAACGCACGGGGGGGGAGGGAAGCGGGGCGGTTGGTGGAAAAGCCTGGTTTGTTTTTTTTCTTTTTTCTTTTTTTCTTTTTTTTTTTTTTTTCCTTAATCTTTGCAACTCCTAATCTCAGCACTTCCCCTTCTCCCTGTCTCCCCCCCCCCCCCCCCTTCTCCACACCACAAATAATGCGAAAAGCAGTGTGCACATATTTGTTGAATGGGATGAGCAATTAGAGGGTGGAATATTATTGTGATCTTAACGAGGCTCGTTAAAGCTAAAGGAGATATGGGGGAAAAGTAAATGGGCCAGGCTGGGATACACGTTCGGATAAAGGGCTCCTAACTGAGACAATTTACACATGATTTGCACGTAGTTTCACTTCATTCTGCCTATCTGAGCACTAATAGTGCCGGGGAAGAAAAGAAAGATGAGATCATTAGACCCATCCTCACGCCGGTGACCCTCCCAGAAGCAGGCACATACAGTATAGCCTGCCTTCAGCCCTGCTTCCACGAAGAGTCCCTCTACTCTCCTCCTAACTCCCGCTCCCTGTCCCTCTCCGCGCAAGCAGAGATCCGCTGCCCGCGGAGTTCCGCGGCTGCTTCCCCGAGACAGGCGCAGGGCGCCCAGCCCGGACCAGCTCCGGCGCCCCGCTCGCTGCCTCCCCCGTCCCGCTCCTTGCTTCCCCCGCCCTCCCGCTCCTTCTCGCCTTCCTTTTCCCTCTCCTCTCCCTTTCCTCTCTCCACTTTGTTTTTCTTCCAGTCTGGCTTCCCCCTCCCGCCCGCCTCACCTCCTCTCGCCCTTTCCTTTCCCTAGAGCCCAGAGACCTGGCGAGACTGGTCCTCGCCCCAAACTCGCCACCGCACCTCTCCTCTTCCCCGCGATTTCTGCCTCAAAATCGAGGGCTTCTGTGCGGGGAAGAGGAAAGGGAGGCGAGCAAAAGAGGGTTTGAACCCCAATTAATTTTATTCATTTCCTTTTATTTTATTTTTTATCATTATTTTTTAAATTACTGGGAGCAAGGAAAATCCCCGTAGTGGTTTGAGCCCATCCCTTAGTAAGACCGAGCTAAGTAGCCAGACCTTGCTACCATGCAACTATATTTATTATTAGGTATGTTGCTTTTAAGAAGATTTAATCAGCATCTTGAGCTGGTAACTCTTTTGTTTAGTTTCTGTAGCTATGGAAGTGTGATTTACAGAGATTTGTACGGGTCATGGACATCTTTCCAGACTTACTGTGTATATTTAGACAGGACTTTGCTTGGTGTTAAAAAGTGTATATTTTGAATAGGTTCACACACAGTAGCAAACAATACCGACATTGTAAAGGCATGTACAACGAGTATTGAAACGCAGCATCCAGACTTCAACTAATCTGCCCTCAATAAAGCTGAAATAATTATCCTAAGCCGCCTTTCTAGAAGAAAAATCATTGAGGAATTCAAAACTTTTTTAAAGATCTTTTCTGCATTCCGATGGAGATCGAGGGGTGAGGCTTGGAGCCCAAACTACTTTCAGACATCAATGGAGGGAAGGAGGGGGGGGAAGAGAGATATTACAATTAAAATGTGAAAACATAGCGTGACTTGCCCTATCCGAAGGATAATAATAATACTGCTATGGGTGGTAGAAGTTCTTTAGCTGGGCTCCAAACCGGTTGTGATCCTTTCACAGCGCACTCCTCGTGAAATAATTCCAAGTGGCAGATGAATAGGTCCAGTTGGAAGAGCTGCTGGACTGGAAGAAGCCCGCTGTATTACACATTCATCTGATTTCCACTAAACTGTCATCGGTGTGCTACGCGGCTTCACGGCCCGAATGGAAATAACTCGCCCTTTTAATTTTTAGTGATCTGCTTAAACACTTCTGTGAACAGACGTGGGGAAAACTTCCCTTTTCTCTCCCTCCCTCCCTGGCTCATATTTCCAGCTGTACAGCTAAGGAGGGAAAGAGACTTCTCAGCCCCTCTACAAATCGACTTGAAGGTATTAATTGGACAACAATATGTTTAGCCAAAGATTTTAATACACACACACAAAATCTTTTTCTTTGTAATCCTTTCCTTTTATGCAAAGGATTACAGAGAGGAGGGTGGGGGGAATTCCTGCGGGAGTTTCTTAATATTTGATTCCATTTTTCTTCAAGCTGCAAATTAAACTATCTTAAAATGTATTTCCAGAATAAAATATCTCTCTCTCCCCCCCCCTCCCCCTTTATTTAATCTCCAAAAAGATCATATACTGGTCACTGGTCGTTTGCCTGTAGGTTGCACCCCTCTGTTAGGATTTAAGATGAACCTTTTAAAGATTCAATATTCTTTTGCTTCTTCTCTTTCTTTCTTTCTTTCTTTCTTTCTTTCTTTCTTTCTTTCTTTCTTTCTTTCTTTCTTTCTTTCTTTCTTTCTTTCTTTCTTTCTTTCTTTCTTTCTTTCCCTCTTTCTTTCTTTCCCTCTTTCTTTCTTTCCCTCTTTCTTTCTTTCCCTCTTTCTTTCTTTCCACACAAACATATGAAACACATAACAACTGATTAAAATATTTATTCCAAAATACCCCTCTGTATGGCATTTCAAAGCACGCCAGCTCTTGTGTGCGTGTGTCTGTGTGTTTGAGCCAAACAGCCCCACAGCCCTGAGGTTCCTATCAGCTCATTCCAGGCTGGAGCCCGCTCTCCCCTCCGCGGACACCCAGCACCCCAGCTCTGCTGCCAGAAGCTCTCGCAGGGACGGAGCCACCGTTCGAAAACGCCTGCGCCAGTTCCCGCAGGTCACCGAGCCACAGGGGTCGTTCGCCAGACCTCGGGGAGCGGGTCCGGCTTCGGCGCTCCCCTAAGCCTGTTAGGGACACACTGCCGTGTCCTGCAATGTGCAGGCAGATAATTGCTGGCGCTCCGCTTTGTGCGGGGAGGCCAGGGTGTAAATGGCTTTTAATGACTGCAGCTGCTGGCTGCAAACTGTCAATGGGATCGGCTAATGCCGAGCCCGGACCCGCCGGGCTCCCAGCCTTAGCAGCCGGGCGGGCGCAGCCGCCAGCAGCGCGCCGCTGCGCGGAGAGGTGCGCGCAGCGGGGAGCGGAGCCGGGAGCGGCGGCGGCGGGGAGCGGGAGCCCCGGCGGCGCCCGGGCCCGGGCAGAGGCTGCCCTAGCGACTGGGAAAATCCTTTCCGGATCCTGTAAGTTTGTCACGGCAGGCGGAGGTCCCGCGGGGGAGCCCTCGGGGTGCGCTGCACCGGCCTCCACCTCCCTCTTCGACCCTTCCGCACCCGCGCTGGGGCCGGGGCAGGGGTGCGGGGCTGTGAGAGGCGGGGTCCCCCCCTCGCTGCCCATGGCCGTCTTCTCCGGGCTGGGGAACCTGCCGTCCGTTTCCAGTCAATCTTACTTGATCCCACACGATTCATTGTTTCAGCTGCTAGAATGACATGTGGCTCTGCAGGGCAGGGGAGCAGCTCCCCTCCTCCCCCAAAACCTCCCCCTAAATTAACCAGGACAAGCCTGTGCGCTCTTCCGGAGGGAGCCTGCGAAGTTGTGTGTGTGTGTGCGTGCGTTTGTGTGTGTCGGGCTGCCAACCTGGAGGACTTTTCCGGGGAGAGGACGGGAAGCGGAGAGGGAAGCTCTTTTATTTCACTGCTTGTTTTGATGGTCGCTCCCAGGAGGCTGCGATTTTCTGCCGCCCAGTTAGTGCCCCTTAATCCTGACTCGGGAGAGACTCAGTCGACGCTTGCAAGCGCTGGTTATTTTTATGGATGGGGGAGGCAGGGGTTCGGATGTGGCTGGCGCGTAGCGGGTGCGGTACCGGCAAGCGGAAAATGCGGCACCGCGGCCGCGGCGAGGGGGAAGGTGCGGGGGGAGAGAGGGAGAGCCCGGGGCAGGTAAAGGAGAGCCCATCGCGGTGCTCTTGTTCGGCTTTTTATTATTGTTATTATTATTATTATTATTGTTACTGCGATTTAATTGATATTTTGTCACTCTTCAGTGGCAAGCGCTGACAATTTTGCACTGATGCTGTCTTTACGAAGACATCGATCCTCCTCCTTCCTTCCCCATTCCTCTCTCTTTCTTCTTCCCCTTCTCTCTTTAGTCACGATTTCCCAACATAAATGAAGGCGCATGTGATGGGTAAGACGTGGCCCATCCGGCTTCTGTAATACAGCCCTGAGGATGCGATGTGTGCTCAGGAAACAAGTGGGAAACTGATTTTTTTCTTAACGGATTGGTTTAAGAAGCCGAGGGGGAGATATTTCATTCCTGGTCCTAAACAGTGCTCCGGCTTCCCAGCTAAACTTTAGCGGTTACCCCCGCCCCATTTTATTTTGCTTAAACACAGAGGCAGGAGGAGGAAAACGTGAGATACCCTTTCATTTCTGAGAAAGAGAGAGAGAAAGAGGAGGGGGAAAGGCGTTGCAGCTCGCCTCCGCGGCGAGGTGCCGGCTTGGTAAGCAGCAAACTTTCCCGCCGGGCTCTGCTGCTTCCCCGCATCCCTCTGGATCTGCTGGCAGCTCCCGCCAGCACAAAGTTACCTGCTCTGCAGCTGCAGAGCAGCACCAGCAGCAGCCGTGCAGTCGCTTGCTCCTGAATTAAACACAACTCTTAATGATGTAGCATTATCAACAAGGGACACTTGATTGACTGATCTAGGTATGATATATGTGCTGGGCGTCTAAATTAAATATTAAGTGAAATACTTAGCTCTAATTAGAATTCGTAACCTAGCAATGAAAACTTGAAGAAACAAATTGCGGGGGGGGGGGGGGGGGGGGAGGTAGGGGAGGGAGAGGAGGGGACAGACTTTAAACGTGGCAGAGAGGAAAGTAGCGGTGATGTGTACAGAGGCTGACATATTAGCAACAAGCAGCAACTTTGAAATGATTGACATATCATTAAAGCCATCAGGCTGATTTTAATAATTCTTCTGCAAGGAAAAAAAAAAAAGAAAAGGAAGAGAAAAGCGTGGTACCTCGCAGACAAGTTATTTATCAGCGCATTAAACACGGGAGAAACATAATGAGACCGGGGAAAAACGAGGGAAGGCAGAGAAGGGGGGGGGGGGGGAAACCGTCGACTAATTTAACAAATAGACATCTAAAAAGCAGCGAGCATCCAGGTCGG